CCTACCGCGCCAACGTCTGGAGCCTACCGAACCTACTTTCATTCACGCTTTCCATCCTATTTATCCTAGTCATCATCATTACCTCCCCAGTGTCTGCCAAAGTCGTCGTCGTCGTCACTGTCCAAGCCATACTCATGATCAATGTCATTATCTTCACCCCCACTCTCCTCGTCCTCTGGTGCCTCCCCGCCCGCCTCTTCCCTTTCCCCACCCACATCGCCTCCCTCCTCCCCTTCTTCCTCTTCCGCATCCCCTCCTTCCTCTTCCTCCTCCCCCTCCTCCTCTCCCTCCTCTCTCCTTGCAGGAACCCCTCTCGTGTCTCAGCGGGAGAGCAGAGGGCATTCACTGATGTCGCACTCACGCAATGTTGGCATTTTCCAGAGAGAGGCGGGCAGCCGAGTCAGCTTCTTGCATATGATCACCTCCAGCTTCTCAAGCTTAGGCAGCTGGGTGAACGAATCCGGCACGTTTCGCAAGTGCTTCAGCCCCAGAATCAGCAACTTCTTGAGGGAAAGCTTCCAGATGTCATCCGGAATGCTTGGGATTCCGAGCATGATAAGAGAGCAGGATCGTAGCTTGGGTAGATTCACAAACGACTCTGGGAGCTGCATCAGCTTGTAGCAGTCAATAATCTCCAACGTCTCGAGCATCTTCAGCTGCCCAAGAGATTCGGGCAGCTGCCGCATTGAGATGAGGTCAACCAGCTGTAAGACACGCAGCCCTGCAAACCCCCCAATGGTCTCGGGCAGTGCTTTCAGATAGTAGGCCGAATCAACCTTAAGCCGTTGCAGCTGCGAGAGTTGGGAGATGCAGTCGGGGAGAGAGTCAAGCTTGTGCATATCTAGAAGCTTCAACTGCGTCAATGAGGACAGACGACCGAGAGATGGACCAAAGGACTCCACATTAAGCTCTTTGATCTTGATGCTTTGTATGGAAGGAAGCAGAGGACGGCTGCTGCTCCTGCTGCCAGTGCTAGTCACAAAGCCCCTGGCAGTGCGTTGAAGCACCGTCTCATCGCCTAGCACCCCGCTTAGTGAATCACATGCCCGCACGTCCAACGCCCGCAGACTAGGCAGCTCAAGGAGCGCCGGAGGGAGGCATATCAGGCCGCCCATCCCAAAGATCCTGACCTCCTCGAGCGCCGCCAGCCGTCCGATTCCCTCTGGCAGGACCGTTACTTTCAGGACCGTTACTTTTTGGTGAGGGAATCAACGCCCGAGAAGGAAGCAGGAAGGGAGGATAGGTGCGGCATGGAATCGAGTGACAGCTCCTTGAGGCTCCTCAAGCAGCCAAAGCCGTCTAGCAGCGCGCCCCTGAAGCGTTTCGCGTGTGCAATCTTCAGCGTTTCAAGAGATGTCAGGCCGGAGAAGGATGGAGGGAGGTGGGTGAGAGCGGTGCAGTCCAGTAGAAGCAGATGGCGCAAGGAGTACAAACCGTTTCCCATGTCGTCAGGCAACACCGTGAGGCTGTGGCATCTGTTGATCTCGAGGCGCTCGAGAGAAGAGAGCTGGGATAGGGAGTCCGGGAGTTGCTGCAACTGCCTACACTCCACTATTTTCAGCTTCCGAAGAGCAATTAACTGCCCAAATGTTTCAGGCAGGCGCATGAGCTGTCGGAGGTCTTTCAAATACAGCTTCTCTAAACAAACCAGCTGACCGAACTCCTGGGGCAGATGTGTCACATTAAGAAGACGATTGAGGGAAAGCTCTTGAAGAGTGGTAACCAGGGCGATGGAATCAGGTAAGGCTGTGAGAATTTGCAGATTTAGCACGAGCCTTCGAAGCGTAGACAACTGCCCGAAATCTTCAGGCAGAACTGAAATTTGTCCCATGTCAAGGGTGATATCGGTGAGTGCAGGCAGGCGGGGAAGAGACACGGGCAGAGTCGTGATGTCACTGCAGCCGTTGATAAAAAGAGTCTTCAGTCGTTGCAAATGTTCCAGATCCGCAATCAAGTCGCGCATTCCCCTCACTTCAACCATAATGAGGGTTTCAAGCGCCCCCAGTTGACCGAAATCGGCCGGCGACGGAGGAAGAATGCTGCAATGTCGGAGCTCCAGGACGGCGAGAGAAGAGAGCTCGGTGAAAGAGGTCGGCAGCTGCAGCGTAGAGCAGCCACTTAAGGAAAAACGGTTGAGAGCGGTAAGTTGCGCAAAAGATTCCGGAAGTGTCGCCAAGCGGCTATGGTGGAGCTCCAGCGACGTCAAAGAAACCAGATTGCCGAAATTCTGAGGCAGAGCTTCGAGCTGATAAGTGTTCTGCACGAGCCTTTTGAGAGATTGTAACGAGGTCAGTGTGTCGGGAAGGCGCGTGACTCCACTTGCCACGAAGTGCAGGTGCTTGAGGGAAGTAAGTCGGCCGATTGACGTGGGAATGGCAGCATTCGTCGAGCAGTACACATAGAGATCTTCCAGCCGCGTACACCCTTCGAACAGCGCAATGAGGCTCTGCTCGGTTACATCTCTTTTATTAGTCCAAGGTGACATCGTTTCGACATGAAGCTGGGTCAAATGGTGACACGAGCTAGCGAGGTGAGAGAATACAAACTTGGAGATGGAGGTGAGGCTGCAAGAGGAAAGGATTAGATTTTCGAGGTTAGGGAACGAGGATAGCAGTTGAACAAGCCGAGGCCGATCCATACGGATGTCATGGGGCAAACGGAGCTCGTATTGCACGCAGCACGCGATTTGATGCCATTGCTTGCTAACAAGTGCGTGCTCTGGCAGGCCATCAGGTCGAACCAGAAAACGTAGGATCCGAGAAAGAAGCTCCTCAGGTAGCCGCTGAATCGGCGATCCGATTGACATTGTGAAAGGCGGAGAAAATAGTGAATGATTATCTGTTCAGCTTGTTGATTCTGCTACTAATCAGGTAACTGTTGGAAACAATCGGTCTTAAGCGCCTCTGTCGTGTCGAAACACCAAGGCACAAGCGAAGCAAAGCATATCGAGGCACCAGCGAGTCAACCCTCGGAGGTTGAAGTAACTGCTGGAGGTTACGCGAAAGTCAAAGGTCAGCGACCCTTGACCTGACAAGTACAGCGCGACAGCAAGGACACACAACTGACTCGCTAGAGAGCAGTTGCCCGAGTCGTCACTGTATCGAACCGCAACAGCAACAGTAAAGTAGTTACAACCGTACCTCTTCGTATTCCTTGTACTCTTATATAATATTGTATCTCTTTGTTTTAATTAATCTACTTTGCCCTCACATACTAGCGCAAGGTGGTTCACAATCTCTTCATTAAAACGCTTCCGCTATTACAGTCCTACCCAGAGTTCATCCCTGTAAAGATCCTAAGGGCTTTTCTCAGCCCAACATGGTATGAGAGCAGTCAGGGAGAATTCGACTTCTATTAAAATACCAACAGCATCAACAAGCATGGCTACACAAAAGGAAAGGAGCTCCTCCAACGGCTCCCAGGGCACTACTCCTACTCCACCTCCTGCCTCTGGCCTACAGACAGAGGAGGGCACGGCAACAAGACACAGGGCAACATCCACCGAGACTCCTGCGAATCAACCTGCAGACTTCGACCAAAACATGATGGAGAATTTTTTCTCCTTCATGTCCTTCTACGAGCAACACCAGCAATCGGCACCTGCGCAGTCACACAACAGCAACAACAACGGAGCAACTCCCATGAGTCTCGACGGCTCATCATACGCACGAGGAAATCAACAGCAGCAGCCTACCTTTGCTCCGTACGAGCGCGGGTCCATCAGCTTCATGCCACACCCGCAACCCTCACCTGGACAAGAAAAGTCACTGGACGCACTACAAGTTCAGTCGCAGTTCGCGCACGTTCTGAAGATGCAGACGTCAAGGCCTTTCGATGGAAAGGATTTCTTCACCTGGTCGTTTGAATTCGAATTAATGATGGAAGGCGCGCAGATACTTGGCTTCTTCGACGGGTCCCTGCCATATCCAACGAACGGCACACAGTATGAGAAGCAGCAGTACACCTACCAGTCGATGATGGCGTACACGATTCTGCTGAGGAACATCACCCCAACTCAACAGCAGAACATACGGTCTTACCGGGGTTACGGCAACTCCGCGGAGCTCGCGTACAACCACTTGAAGAGCCTGTATCAAGCAACAGACAGCGTAAGTCAAAGTCGGTTAATGGCGCAACTGACAACGGTCGAAATGAAACCAGGAGAGAAAGGAATGGCGTATATCAGTCGATGTCGCGAGTTGCGCGACAAGCTTCTGCGATGCGGGGGGTCGATTTCTGAAGACGCCTTCGTGACAGTCATCATCGGCGGCCTCGGTCCTCAATGGCGCGCCACAAAGGCCATTCTCCGAGCCCACGGAAGAATCTCCGAAGCAGCACTCTGCGCTGAAATCCATGCCGAGCAGCAAGACATGGACCTGCAAGAAGAACGACACGAGAAGAAGATATCAGCACCGGAATTCGCGTTCCACACTCAGCGACGCTACAACAACTACAAACAACAACAGCCGAAGTCCGTACCTCCCTTCTGCCACATCTGCAAGACGTCAGGGCACCCGCGCACACACTGCCCGAACCGACAACAGTCAACTCCACCGCAACGACAGCTTCGACCTTCCAGCAGCCAAGTGGCTTCAACGCAGGCGAACCCCACGAGTCAGTCGCAACCGTCAACAACACCACCTGCACAAGGAGCAAGAAACATCGTCAGCTGCATGGCAAGACTAAGTGACTCCTGCATCACCGAGTCACCACCATACTACTCACCGGAAGAACGACTTGACGACACCACACCTCGCCGCCAGTCACTCCAGCCGAACCCAACATACGCAGCCATTGCTCAAAGCGAGCCATCCGGGAAGGACACGTGGTTCTTGGACAGTTGCTGCGGACAACACATGTGTTCTTCAGGACGTTTCGTGCAGCGAGAGTATCAACTTCAACACGAAGTGGTCATCACCGTCGCCAATAATCAAAACCTGCGCACACGACGACAAGGCGTGGTACAACTTCAATCACGAGAGACAAATGTCGTTCTACAAATGTCTAAGGTTCTAATCGCAGAAGGCCTCGGCTACAACTTACTGAGCGTCAGTCAGTTGATGGCGAAGGGCATTCACCTCGAGGCAGACAGCACCACCCAGGAATTCAAGCTGTACCACGGGAAGGGCGGCCTCTACATCGGAAAGGCGATCCTCAAAAACAACGTCTTCGTTCTTGGCTTTGTCCCAGATCTCGGCACAGCAGACAGCGACGGCATCGTCACTTTCACCTCCTGGACCCACCCTCCAGACCTTGATCCAGACTTCAGTCCAGAAGGCTTCTGGTATTCACACACCATCCCTGAGGCAGAAAGAACAAGGGCGTTAGCAACAATTCAGACAACATCGACAGCAGCAGAAACAACATCGGCAGCAGCAGAGACAACACCGGCAGCAGCAGAGACAACATCGGCAGTAGCAGAACTATCAACGGTAGCAGCAGGAACGTCAACACCAATCGCTGGTCCTTCAACGGCACCGCTCCTCGTCAACGACACACCACCGACACCCGCGCAACAACTACACCCAGCACCACGAGAAGTTCATCGTAGCGCCAACTTCACCGCCAACTTCTACTCCAACTCCGATCTGTACCGACGATCACCCGGACATCGCGCCGACGAAAGCACCTGGCACGCAAGGATGGGACACCCAAGCAACACAATATTAAATAATACGATAAGAGCAGGAGTACTTGACAAGGACTCACTACTACTGACCGACGGAAGAGAACTTCAACGAGTACGCGGAACGTGCTTCACCTGCCCTGAAGCTGACTTACCACATCGACCGTTCGCGTCTCACCATAACCCAAGCGCACCAGCTTACGCGCCACTCGAGAAGGTGTACAGCGACATCCTGTACAATCGCGAGCCAGGGCAGAACGCGTACAACTACACCATCACGTTCATCGACGCCGCGACACGTTACGTTTGGCACCTGAATCTTCCAAGCAAGGATATGGCGTTCGAAGCGTTCGTCGCCTGGCTCCCCGTAGCAGAAAGGGAATCGGGCGTCAAACTAAAGAGCTTCCAGTCAGACGGGGGAGGAGAATACACCTCACAAAGGTTCAAGCAGTATCTGGCAGAGAGAGGAATCAAGCGACTCATTTCCCTTCCCTACGCCCATCAACAGCAGGGTGTAGCAGAGAGGATGAGCAGGACCCTCCAGAACACCATGCGAAAACTGTTACGTGGCATGCGGCTACCCACCCACCAGTGGCCAGAAGCAATGGACCATGCCGTGATGCTGCACAACCTGCTTTCTTCGTCGTCACTTCCGAACAACACATCACCGCATCTGCTGTGGACAGGAAAATTGGGCAGCACAAAAATGTTACGAGTCTTCGGCTGCATGGTACAGTACCGACCTCCATCTGCACGAGCAGGACGATTCTCCCAACGGGCACAGTGGGGACTACACCTGGGCATCGAAAAACACTACAACGCATGGAAGATTTTCGACGTCGAGACAAAAGAAACAGTGGCAGCACGTGATGTCATTTTCTACGAGCGACTCACACTGCAGACGTACCTTGCCAACCTGGACGAAAACCGAGACCCCACAGGTGGCTTCCGTGGAGACCGAGCCTTCGCTTCGGCAGAAGACGAAGCTGACTGGGACGAGCAGAACGTGGAAGGAGCCTCGGAAGAAGCCGGACCCCTCCCCTACTGCTCCGTCAACGTGCCAATGGACGACGAAAACCCACGCGAGAGCATCAATGACGAAACCTACTACCATTTCGCTGACAACGGTTACGTTACACCTGCACAAGTAAACACCAACGAAGCAGAACGCATAGGACCCAACTTCGCACCTGATCCGGAAGCGGGAGACGAAGCTGCTTATCCCGCGGACATGTCACTTCCCCGCTACACACCGAGTGGACTCCAGATACTCGGGCTCGTCACCGCAGTCCACGGCACGGACATTCCTAAGGAGCCTGCCACAGTTCAGCAGGCTCTGGGGGGGGAGCATAGGGAAAAATGGCGCGAAGCCATGGACAAAGAACTGAAGGCATTAGAGGAGCGCAACACGTGGAAAATTGTCCCCATCGGCGTAGCACGGAACAAGACCATTCTCACCGGGAAATGGGTCTTCCGCGTGAAGACGAAGGCCGACGGCACCATTGACAAATTCAAGGCACGATGGGTCGTGCGTGGCTTCGACCAAGAACACGGGCGAGACTTCACCGAAACCTTCGCTCCGGTCAGCCGACACACTTCGCTCCGAATTCTTCTCGCGATTGCCGCCATGAAGAAAAAGAAGCTACGGCAAATCGATGTCGCGAACGCATTTCTCTACGCACCCGTTGACGCAGAAATTTTCGTGGAACTACCGCACGGTACCAACGGGGAGCCGAACCAAGTCTGTCAGCTGCTGAAGTCGCTCTACGGGATCAAGCAAGCTCCGCGGCTATGGCAGCAGTACCTGCACGCCCGTCTCATTCGCATCGGCTTCAAGCAATTACCTCACGATCAGGGGATGCACCGACTCACGAAAGGCGCAGATTACATCCTACTAATCGTCTACGTAGACGATCTCCTCTACATCGGCTCAACCGACAGCGTCACCACCTGGTTCGAAGGGGAGCTACAGCAGGATCTCACACTGACAGTCTCATCTACCGTTACACAGTACCTCGGGCTCAACATCCGCGAAGAGGAAGACGCCATCTACCTCAGCGCCGCGAAATACGCCGACACCATCGCCAAGCGTTTCGCACTTACACCAACTATCATCTCTACACCGTACCGCTACACGTCAGGAAACAACAAGGAAGGCTCCGCTCTACTCAAGCCCGCCGGCATACGCGACTACCAGAGAAAGCTGGGCTGCCTTCTCTTTGCAGCCGTCACCTGCCGCCCAGACCTATCGTACTCTGCAAGCCAACTCGCCACCTATCTCAAGAGGCCCGAAACGGAACACCTAGCAGAACTCGACCGCGCCCTTCATTACCTTATTAGCACCCCGACGATCGGTCTAACTTACTACAAGAACGCAACTACGCCGCCTAAGTTAATCGGCTACGTCGACGCCGATCACGCTGGCGATTCCGACAACAGGCGTTCTCGCACTGGCTACATCTACCGCCTCGAACCTATCGGACCTATCTCTTGGCAGTCGAGCAAGCAGGAATTAATAGCTCTCTCGTCAGCCGAAGCAGAATATATTGCACTCTGTTCAGCCACCAAGGAAGGACTTTACCTTCGCGAACTGCTGGAAGAAGCGAAGCTGGCTCAGTTACCCAGCTTCACTCTGTTCTGCGACAACCAGTCGGCAATTCGCATCGCCAACAAGAACGGCTTCGCAAACAGGACGAAACACATCGCCCTGCGATATTTCTTCGTGAAGGACGAGATCGAGAAAGGAAGGCTCGAACTGTCATACTGTCCCACGTCCGAGATGGCAGCTGACTACCTGACCAAGAAGCTCGGAAAGCAGAAGTTCGAATACTGCATGTTGCTGACTGGACAGAGCCACGTCAGCGACACTCCAGAAGCGAAGGGGAGTGTTGGAAACAATCGGTCTTAAGCGCCTCTGTCGTGTCGAAACACCAAGGCACAAGCGCAGCAAAGCATATCGAGGCACCAGCGAGTCAACCCTCGGAGGTTGAAGTAACTGCTGGAGGTTACGCGAAAGTCAAAGGTCAGCGACCCTTGACCTGACAAGTACAGCGCGGCAGCAAGGACACACAACTGACTCGCTGTCAGAGGTCCACTGGAGATCCCCGATCGATCCTAGGGAAGGGTTACAGGCACGTCGGCCTGGGGGGTTATGGGCGCACTCACCCGCTACACAAACAAGCCCTTTTATCCCAATGGTCTAGTGGTTGGGATTCTGACATGGTATCAGAGCGAAGGTCTCGGGTTCGAATCCCGGTGTGTGCACCTCGGGCATCCCAGTGCGGGGGGGTGTCAGAGGTCCACTGGAGATCCCCGATCGATCCTAGGGAAGGGTTACAGGCACGTCGGCCTGGGGGGTTATGGGCGCACTCACCCGCTACACAAACAAGCCATTTTATCCCAGTGGTTAGTGGCTGGAATTCTGACACTCGCTAGAGAGCAGTTGCCCGAGTCGTCACTGTATCGAACCGCAACAGCAACAGTAAAGTAGTTACAACCGTACCTATTCGTATTCCTTGTACTCTTATATAATCTTGTATCTCTTTGTTTTAATTAATCTACTTTGCCCTCACATACTAGCGCAAGGTGGTTCACAATCTCTTCATTAAAACGCTTCCGCTATTACAGTCCTACACAGAGTTCATCCCTGTAAAGATCCTAAGGGCTTTTCTCAGCCCAACAAGAAGCTCGGAAAGCAGAAGTTCGAATACTGCATGTTGCTGACTGGACAGAGCCACGTCAGCGACACTCCAGAAGCGAAGGGGAGTGTTGGAAACAATCGGTCTTAAGCGCCTCTGTCGTGTCGAAACACCAAGGCACAAGCGAAGCAAAGCATATCGAGGCACCAGCGAGTCAACCCTCGGAGGTTGAAGTAACTGCTGGAGGTTACGCGAAAGTCAAAGGTCAGCGACCCTTGACCTGACAAGTACAGCGCGACAGCAAGGACACACAACTGCTATCTCTAAGGGCTTTTCTAAGTGCGTGCTCTGGCAGGCCATCAGGTCGAACCAGAAAACGTAGGATCCGAGAAAGAAGCTCCTCAGGTAGCCGCTGAATCGGCGATCCGATTGACATTGTGAAAGGCGGAGAAAATAGTGAATGATTATCTGTTCAGCTTGTTGATTCTGCTACTAATCAGGTAACGAGAGTCCTAATCGTCTAATAGCAAGGTTGTTGTGAGCTTGAAAGGGGAAAGGAATCACTCGTGAAATCATTCCCCCGAGGATCACAGAGTGCATCTCTCTCAACGAGGGTTGTCGCTAGGTCTGGTCTGGTCGCTCAAACCAACAAGGAAACCTTGAGGTTGTCAGTTACACCGCACTCAACCGCTCGTTCTTCTCGAACCATTTCCGGCAGATGCTCCCACGTAACACCGTACTTGCGCGAAATTGTCGGCGATGCAGGGTGCACACTGACGAACCTCAATCTCGATTGTCGAGGATCGCCCACAGTGCTTTCGCAAGCCCCAAGTGTGAGTCTCATGGTGAGCCGACGTGCGCTTGTGCGCTTCCCGCCAGAAAAGTGATGGCGAACCCGTTTGTGGATGCGATTCCAGCGAGAAGTGTAAGAAATTTGTGATAGGCAGTGAGTTGTTATTCGCAAATACGCAAGGAGTGTACAGAATGGAGCAAAAAGATACATATTACTGTCACAGATTAGAATATAAAGTGTATTTTGCGCTTACTAGATGACCTTATAGGCGTTGGGAGCCCCTTAGGAGAAAGTTTGCCCCTGTGTTTTAGGTACCAGTGGCACTTTTCTGCATCACACTGCAGCTGAGTGCACGCATCTGGTAAGGAGCGCTAACAACACATAACCTTTCCATTGACAACTACAGCCTATTTTCATACATGATTTCGTCCCCAACTTCCAACCCACCAGTCTCACCTATTCATCCTAGTCATCATCACTGTTCCCCCAGTCTCTGACGTCGTCGTCATAATCACTGTCCAAGGCATACTCATGATCAATATTATCATCATAACCCCCACTCTCGTCTTCCTCCACTGCCTCCCCGCCCGCCGCCGCATCGGCTCCCTCCTCCCCCTCTTCCTCTCCCGCATTCCCTCCCTCTTCCTCCTCCCCTTCTTCGTCCTCCTCCTCCCCCTCCCCCTCCTCTCCCTCCTCTCTCCTTGCAGGAACCCCTCTAGTGTCCCGACGCGAGAGCAAAGGGCATTCACTGATGTAGCACTCACTCAACGTCGGCATCCTCCGGAGAGAGGACGGCAAACGAGTCAGCTTGTTGCACGCAATCACCTGCAGCACCTTAAGCCTAGGCAGCTGGGTAAACGAAACCGGCAAGCTTCGCAACTGCTTCAGTCCCAAAATCAGTAACTTTCGGAGGGAAGAAAGCTTCCAAATCTCATCCGGAATGACTGGGATCCCGAGCTTGATAAGGGAGCACGATCGTAGCTTGGACAAACTCACGAAGGACTGTGGAAGCTGCATCAGTTTGTAGCAATCAATAATATCCAGCGTCTCAAGCATTTTCAGCTGCCCCAGAGACTCGGGCAGCTGCCGCATCGTGTACAGGCGAACCAGCTGCAAGACACGCAGCCCTGCAAGGCCTCCAAGAGCCTCGGGCACTGCTTTTAGATTAAAAGCCGTATCAACCCGAAGGCTTTGCAGCTGTGAGAGGTGAGCGATGGAGTCAGGGAGAGACTCTAGTCTGTGCATCTCGAGAAGTTTCAGCTGCGTCAGAGAAGATAGTCGACCCAGGGACGGACCGAAAGACTCAACATCGATATCTTTTATCTTGAGGTTCTGAATTGAAGGAAGCAACGCCCTACTGCTGCTGCGGTTGATGTTGCTGGTGCTGGTCACAAAGCCTCTGGCAGTACGTCGTACCACCTTCTCATCGCCTAGCACCGCACTTAATCCACCACATCCCCGCACCTCCAACACCCGCAGACGGGGCAACTCAAAGAGTGCCGGAGGGAGACATTTCAGGCCGTCCATCCCAAAGATCCTGACCTCCTCGAGCGACTGCAGCCGTCCGATTCCCTCGGGCAACACCGTTACTTTGGGACAATACCCCACTTCCAGGCTGGTGAGGGAAAGAACGCCCGAGAAGGAAGCAGGAAGGGAGGATAGCCGTGGCATGTAATCAAGCGACAGCTCCTTCAGGCTCCTCAAGCAGCCAAAGCCGTCTAGCAGCGCGCCCCTGAAGCGTCTCGCGTCTACAATCTCGAGGGTTTCGAGCGACGTTAGACCAGAGAAGGATGGAGGGAGGTGGGTGAGAGCGGTGCAGTCCAGTAGAAGCAGATGGCGCAAGAAGTGCAAACCGTTTCCCATGTCGGCAGGCAACACCGTGAGGCTGTGGCATCTGTTGATCTCGAGGCGCTCGAGAGAAGAGAGCTGGGATAGGGAGTCCGGGAGTTGCTGCAGCTGCGTACACTCCACTATTTTCAGCTCTCGGAGAGCTGTCAACTGCCCGAAGGTTTCGGGCAGGCGTGTGAGCTGTTGAAGGTCTGTCATGCACAGCTTCTCCAAAGCAACCAGCTGGCCGAACTCCTGAGGCAGATGCGTCAAAACCCGAAGATAGTCAAGGGAAAGGTCTTGAAGTGTGGTAACCAAGGCGATGGAATCAGGTAAGGCTGTGAGACTTCTCAGATTTAGCACGAGTGTCCGAAGCACTGACAACTGCCCGAAATCTTCGGGCAACACAGAGAGTTCGATATCAAGGGTGAGGTTGGTGAGTGCAGGCAGGCGGGGAAGAGACGCGGGCAGAGACGTGATGTCACTGCAGCGCTTAATGGTTAGAGTCTTCACCCGCTGGAAATCCTCCAGATCAGCAATCAGGTCGCGCATTCCCCCCACTTCATCTAAAATGATGGTTTCGAGTGCCCTCAGTTGACCGAAATCCACCTGTGACGGAAGAAGAATTCTGCATCGTCGACACTCCAGGACGGCGAGAGAAGAGAGCTCGGTGAAAGAGTCCGGCAGCTGCAATGTCGAGGAGGGACTCAAGGATAAACGGTTCAGAGCGGTAAGCTGCCCGAAAGAGTCTGGAAGTGACGCCAAGCGGCAATCGTGCAGCTTCAGAGACGTCAAGGAAACCAGGTTGCCGAAATCTTCAGGCAAAGCTTCGAGCCTAACAGTTTGCAGCACGAGGCTTTTGAGAAGCTGTAATGAGGTAAGAGTGTCGGGTAGACGGGTAACGAATGCCCTGAGGGTAAAGCTTCTGAGCCGTGTGAGTCGGTCGATCGACGTGGGAATGGCAACACCCTCCGAACAATACACATCAAGATCTTCCAGCCGCGTACACCCCTCGAACAGCGTAACTAGGCTCTTCTCAGATACACCTCCGCGTGACATCGGTTCGACACGAAGCTGGGTCAGATGGTGACACGTGCTAGCGAGGTGAGAAAATAAGAAATTAGGGGCGAAGGTGAGGCTGCCATAGGAAAGGATGAGCTTTTCGAGGTTAGGGAACGACGACAGAAGTTGAACGAGGCGACGCGGATCCATACGGAGGTCATCAAGCAAGCGGAGCTCGTATTGCACGCGGTGCGCGACGCGATGCCATTTCTTGCTAACAAGTGAGTGCTCCAACTGACCATCAGGTCGAACCAGAAAACGTAGAACCCGGGACAGAAGCTCGTCAGGTAACCGCTGGATCGGCGATCCGACTGGCATTGTGAAAAGAGGAGAAAATCAGTAATGATGCCGCTCTTTACCGCGTCAGGTCTGCTACTAACTAGGTAACGTGGCTTCTAATCGTTCTCTAGCTAGGTCAGTGAGACTGGAGTGTTGAGGATCAGTAGAAACTGTTTCCAGGGGATCAGAGAGTGCAGTTCTCACACCTCGGAGACCCTTGGGCTTCTCAGTGACACCGCACTCAACCGCTCGATTATCTCGAATCATTCCCGAAAGATTCTCCCACGTTACATCATACTTACGAAAAGG